GCGTCCGGCCTAATTTTTTTTTTAAATTTACAGAAATGGGGTCTTGCTAAGTTTCTTATTATTTATGGGAATGGGGGCTCACTGTGCTGCCCAGGCTGCTCTCGAACTCCTGGGCTCAAGCCATCCTCCTGCCTCAGCCTCCCCGTGTTGTGATTACAGGCATGAGCCACTGCAACTGGCCTCAGGTGGACGTTCCTTTTGTTCCTTTTTGTAATTAACACTGTGGCTTTGCCTGGTTCTGTGTTCTTTAAGCATCTTTAAGCTTATCCACAGAAGTTCGTGCAGTGCATGCAGTGTCTGACTGAAACAAATGTTTAAGAAAATAATGCTTAACTTTGGCAGTTGTTGTAACAGCTTTTATGGCGAAAGTTACAAGTAATGGATTGCCTTTTTTTTTTGGAAAGAGAGTCTCGCTCTGTCGCCCAGGCTGGAGTGCAGTGATGGGATTTTGGCTCACTGCAACCTCCACCTCCCGGGTTCCAGTGATTCTTGTGCCTCAGCCTCCCGAGTACCTGGGACTATAGACGCCTGCCACCACGCCCGGCTAGTTTTTTATTTTTAGTAGAGACGGGGTTTCACCATGTTGGTCAGGCAGGCCTTGAACTCCTGATCTCAGATTATCCTCCTGCCTCCGTCTCCCAAAGTGCTGGAATTATAGGGGTGAACTACCGAGCCCAGCCAACCACTGTGCACTGCAATCTCTGCCTCCCAGATTCAAGTGATTCTCCTGTCTCAGCCTCTTGAGTAGCTGCAATTAAAAGCATACCTGACTAACTTTTATTTGTATTTTTTTTGAGACAGCGTTTTCCTCTGTCGCCTAGGCTGGAGTGCAGTGGTGCACTATCGGTTCACTGCAGCTTCCACTTCCCAGGTTCAAGCGATTTCTCCTGTCTCAGGAGCCCGCCACCACGCCTGGCTACTTTTTGTATTTTTAGTAGACACAGGGTTTCACCATGTGGGCTAGACTAGTCTCGAACTCCTGACCTCAGGTGATCCACCCGCCTTGGCCTCCCAAAGTGCCGGGATTACAGGTATGAGCCACTGTGCCTGGCCATGGATTACTTTATATCTGATATTATATTGTTTAAGTATAGGTAGCACCCACGGCACTGATGTCATAACTGACAGATTGTGGAAGTAGGTGTGTACACAGGTTCAGTCAAACCTGTGTTTTGATTCCATTCCACGCTACCCATCCCCTGGCGTGGAGCAGCCCAGGCTCAGGGCGAGTGAGCAGAATACAGTGTTTTCACATGAGCGTGGCAGCTCACACTTGTAATCTCAGCGCTTCAGGCCAGAGGAGCGCTTGAGACCAGGGGTTTGAGACCAGCCTGGGCAACATGGCGACCCCCATCTGCAAAATATAAAACCTGTTTTTGTCTCCTTTTTCCAGAGGAATGTTGGGTCCTCACAATTCAAAACAATTGAAGATGACTTGGTGTCTGCCCTCGTCCGGTCAGGCTGTATTCCTGAAAATCATGGCGAGGACATGAGGAAAATGTCCTTCCAGCGCTGTGCCCGGACAGACAAGGTGGGTGACGGCCTTTTCTGCCCCTTCCCGGCTGATACGAGCAGCACCCGGCCCACTTTCCAGCTCAGTGTCCTGACTTGTTGTGCTGCTTCTGAGCACATATGATGTACAAATCAAACTAGCCTACACCTTACGTAGGTGAGATGTCCAGGAGCCTGGGCAGCTCAGGTATAGCCGGATCTAGGTGCTTCCTGCCAGCGGGGCTCTGCGTTCTCTCTTGTCTTTGCTTTCTCTTGTGTTGATTCTGTTCTCAGGGACATACATTCCTATGTTGATTCTGTTCTCAGGGACATGCATTCCTGCAGGTGGCCCAGGGGCAGCCGCAACGTCTGCCTTCGACCCTCCAATCAGGCTCACTCTGAGGCAAATGTGATTGTGTGGCTCCGAAGGCAGCGAGCCACACTTGTATGATGCAGCATTCTCTTTTCTTTCCTTTTTTAGAGTCAGGGTCTCATTCTCTTGTCCAGGCTGGAGTGCAGTGGCACGATCCGGGCTCGCTGCAGTCTCAAACTCCTGGGCTCAAGCAGTCCTCCTGCTTCAGCTTCCCGAGTAGCTGGGTGAATTGGTCTGTTTTCACGCTGTTATAAAGAACTGCCCAAGATTGGGCAATTTATAAAGAAAGAGGTTTGACTGACTCAGTGCCACATAGCTGGGGAGGCCTCAGGAACCTTGGATCATGGTGGCAGGCGTGAGAGAGTGAAGAGGGTTAGGGGAAGAGCCCCTTATAAAACCGCCAGATGTTGTGAGAACTCAACGGTTACGAGAACAGCATGGGGGAAACCGTGCGCATGATCCAGTCACCTCCCACTAGGTCTTCCCTAGACATGTGGGGATCACCATGCAACATGAGAATTGGCAGGGACACAGCAAACCATCTCACCGGAACGACAGGCACTCCACCATGCCTGGCTAAATTTTTTTTTTTTTTTAATATGAGGTCTTGCTATGCTGCCCAGGGGTCTCAAACTCCTGGGCTCTGGTGGTTTTCCCCCTTTGGCTTCCCAAAGTGCTGAGATTTACAGGCATGAACCACCACATCTGGCTTGAAATTAATAAATAATTCGCTGTATTATAAACTCAGTATATTCAGGATATCCTTATTTCAGCGTGTAATCCATATAAAAATCTCTTCATGGGATAAATGTAATACTGTTTTTGTGTGTGTGCTAAGTCCACACTCATCACATCTCCACCACCCTGGACCCGTTACATGGTCTCAGCTGCATGGGGCTGGTGACCCAGCACTGACCCTTCAGAACCACGAGGCTGAGTTCCCGTTTCCCATGGGTTTGCACATCCACCCTGGACGCTGCTGCTGGCTGTGTGGCAGCACATGCCAAGTGGTCCTGTGACGCCACATTGCTGTGCTTGGAACTGAACCATGGGATTGGATGTGGGCAGAGTGGCCCGCCACAGGGAATGGAGATGTCTTTAAGGAGGGACCCAGTGTAGGGTCCAGCCCTACAGGGCCTGTGGGTTTTCTTTCGTGTGCAGAGATGAGAGATCGTAGAAAAATAAAGACATGAGACAGAGAGATAGAAGGAAGGGCAGCTGGGCCCAGGGGACCACTGCCACCAGTGTGTGGAGTCTGGTGGTGGTCCTGAATGCCCGGTGCACTGCTGTTTATTATATACAAGGCAAGGGGGCAGGGTAAGGGGTATGAGTCGTCTCAAGTGATGGATAAGGTCACACGAGTGACGTGTCCACGGGACGGGGGTCTTTCCCTTTGTGGTAGCTGAGGCGGAGAGGGGGACAGCATACATCAGCATTTCTTCTATGCGCTTGTCAGAAAGATCAAAGACTTTAATGCTTTCACTAATTCTGCTACTGCTATCTTCTAAGAACTTAAAAGGAGGAGCCAGGTATACAGGCGGAACATGAAAGTGACAAGGAGTGTGACCTTTGAAGCACAGCCCCACAGGAGACGTTTAAGCCTCCGGATGACTGCGGGCAGGCCTGGGTCATGTCAGGCCTCCCACGAGAGGTGCTGGAGCAGAGTGTTCTCTGACTGCCCCAGGGAAAGGGAGACTCCCTTTCCCGGTCTGCTAAGTAACAGGTGCCTTCCCAGGCACTGGCGCTACCACTAGACCAAGCAGCCCTTATCTGGGAGTGACCGAGGACTCACACTCTTGTCTTCTGGTCACCTCTCACAGTGTCCCTTCAGTTCCTGACTCTGTATGGCCTGGTTTTTCCTAGGTTATAATTATAGAACAGAGATTATTATAATAATAAAGAACAATACTACAAATATTGATATTATATATAATCATATCTGTATCCTATTTCTAGTATCACTTTTCTTATTCTAATTATTTTCTTTATTATACTGGAACAGCTCGTGCCTTCAGTCTCTCGCCTCGGCACCTGGGTGGCTTGCCGCCTGCAGCCCAACATTTGGCAGACAGGGACAGCACAGCTGGAGAGAACAGATGGCTTTTCTGTAGCATGTAGAAGGCATCAGTGAATGTGATACCTGTCATCCTTGCCTGTGAGAGTATCTGGCTCTAACATGGCTCTCAGGCTGCCTGAGGGCATTGGGGGTCTCTCAGAGACATAACTTTTTGCTGGTCAGGATCCCCAGGAATCTGAATAAAGCTATGGCTCTTGTTCCCACAAACACCTAGTTTCAAAGGCACACAGGTCCCTGGGGATCCATGGACGCATGCTGGAGCCATCGTGTAGAGGGGAGAACACAAGAGGGACCCACAAGTTCACTCCTAGTGGGTGATGCCTTTGATGGCCCAAGGTAGAGAGTTCTGTGGGTCTTACTATTTCCATTTTCTTTTTGATTCTCCATTTACAGCTCTCTGATTGTTTTTAGGGAAGAAGAAAGTAACAATTTGTTCAAGCTGATGAAGAGAGCATTTCAAAATAGGGTCCTTGTATTTATTTTTAGTTCTGCTGTTGTTAGAGAGAGAGTTTCGTTCTAATATGTTTTCTCACTTGCAATTGGAAAACCTGCAGAAGTAGATCCATGAGGCCGACGTGGTCGCACCCGAGTGCCCTGGAGTGCCCTGCCCTTCGGGTGAAAACAGTAACATCTTAACAATTTTTATTATTTATTTGTTTATTTATTTTTGAGACAGTTTCACTCTTGTTGCCCAGGCTGAAGTGAAATGGCGGGATCTCAGCTCACCGCAACCTCCACCTCCCGAGTTCAAGCCATTCTTCTGCCTCAGCCTCTCAAATAGCTGGGACTACAGGCATGTGCCACCAAGCCTGGCTAATTTTGTATTTTTAGTAGAGATGGGGTTTCTCCATGTTGATCAGGCTGGTCTCGAACTCCTGACCTCAGGTGATCCGCCCTCCTCAGCCTCCCAAAGTGCTGGGATTGCAGGTGTGAGCCGCCACGCCCGGCCTATTATTTTTTTTTGTGTGTGTGTATTTCTGCTGTTTAACATTTTGTTTTTGTTTCAGATTTTAAAAATAGCTTTATTGAAATATAATTCACTCTTGGCCGGGCGCGGTGGCTCATGCCTGTAATCCCAGCACTTTGGGAGTCTGAGGCGGGCGGGTCACTTGAGGTCAGGAATTTGAGACCAGCCTGGCCAACATGGAGAAACCATGTCTCTACTAAAAATACAAAATTAGCCGGGTGTGGTGGTGGGTGCCTGTAATCCCAACTACTCAGGAGGCCGAGGCAGGAGAATTGTGTGAACCTGGGAGGCGGAGGTTGCAGTGAGCCAAGATGGTGCACTCCAGCCTAAGTGACAGAGTGAGACTCCATCTCAAAAAAAAAAGGCAAAAAAAGAAATAGAATTCACTCTTATACAGTTGACCCATTGAAAGTGTACAGTTCAGGCCAGGCGTGGTGGCTTATGCCTGTAATCCCAGCACTTTGGGAGGCCAAGGCGGGTGGATCACCTGAGTTCAGGAGTTCGAGACCAGCCTGGTCAATATGGTAAAACCCCGTCTCTACTAAAAATACAAAAATTAGCCAGGTGTGGTGGCACATGCCTGTAATCCCAGCTACTCAGGAGGCTGAGGCGGGAGAATCGTTTGAATCCGAGAGGTGGAGGTTGCAGTGAGCTGAGATCGTGCCATTATACTCCAGCCTGAGCAACAAGAGTGAAACTTCATCTGAAAACAAAACGAAAAAACCTAAAAGAAAGTGCACGGTTCAAGCTGGGTGTGGTGGCTCACACCTGTAATCCCAGTACTTTGGGAGGCCAAAGCGGACGGATCACTTGAGGCCGGGAGTTCGAGACCAGCCTGGCCAACATGACAAAATTTCATCTCTACTAAAGATACAAAAATTAGCCAGGCGTGGTGAGTCACACCTGTAATCCCAGCTACTTGCGAGGCTGAGGCATGAGAATCTCTTGAACACGGAAGACGAAGGTGGCAGTGAGTCGAGATTGCATCACTGAGCTCCAGCCTGGCAAAAAAAAAAAAAGAAGAAGAACGTATACAGTTCAGTGGTTCCAGTATATTCACAGAGCTGTGCAGCCATCACCACAGCCAGACATAGGCCATCCCAGAGATACCGGGTGTCCCTCTGCTGTTGTCCCTACCCCCCCCAGGATGTTTCCGATATTCTCACTTCAACTTCTTGTCAGTACAAAGTGTTTGGCAATGAGATGTATTTTCTTTCCCTTTTTTGGCGCTAAGTCTTTGAAATCTGTTGTGTATTTACCTAAAGTCATCTTGTTTCAGAACAGCTCGTTTCCTCCTGTCACGTTCCATGTGTGGGTCTGGCCAGTGGAACATCTCAACAGTTTTGCTCTCCAACTTTTTATTTTGAAAATTTCATACCTTCATAAAAGTCTTTTTTTTTTTTTTTTT